GTCTCTTACAAGTTTTACTCTTTGTCCTTCATCTTTGGCTTCTTTCATCTTTGGATATAGGGTCTTTCTACGTTCTTCTATTTCTCTTGGAAATTGCTCTCTTACACCATAGTTTGTGCTTTTGAGTATATCTGGAGCAGCAAATTTTATTAGATCTCTCTGTTTTTGTTCTCTGAATTTGGCAATAATTGGTCTTGGCTTCAATTGGTTTATCATTTTTTTACCAAGTCTATGAACTCTCTGGAAATTTATATCTTCATCAAACTTCATTTCATGTTTGATAAATTCACATAAGGTGTTTTCAGTGTTTTCATACTGGCCTTGTGTCTCTGGTTCCTTGATGTTATAAAATATTAGGTTGTCTTGCATGCTTCTGCACTGTAGATCAAGTATTGTTTCATTTTGTTCATTTTGGTAATCTTTTACTTCTGTTATTTGTGATTGTAGGTGTGCCATCTGTCTTTCCAGGGCGGTGATTTTGTTACTGTCTTCTGACCTTTCATAATTGATGTTTTCATATAATTCACTAACAACTTCAATACTATGTTGATATTCATTGATTTGTTTGGTGTGGTGTTGCATGCTTTCATTCAGGCTATATACTTTTTGCCCCATCATTGTTAAATTTTTTTTTGTTTCATGCATGTCTTGTACTTGATTTTCTATAGTATTTATTCTTTCATTTTGGTGTCTTTGTAATATCTATCAGATTAACGGGACAGACAAATTATTTTCACACATTATGGATATTTAAGCAACTACATTTTTAATCAACCCCGTGGTCGTGCGATTTGCCGCTATGCTTAATTATTTATGTTTCATACATTTTGTTACGTACATTGGCCGACAATTACTTAATTTTTAAAAAAGGCTAAATGTTGAGATATTCATTAAAGATGTTCGGTAGTTGTACGATACATGTATTACGAGAAGTATGGACCAGTATGGACCTGTAATTCACGGATATATGGAACTACCGATTTCCCTCATTGATGCCTCAACAGGGGGCGGAGCGTTATCGATAATCGACAGGTTACGCGAAAGCAGATACAAATAGAATAGGTACCGTTTTAAAACGTTTAAAAACACATTTTTCGGACTAACTGCTTCCAAAATTAAATCACGAATGTGTTCAGAAAAGGTTGATAAATCTACTTAGCAAAAAATCTCATTTAAGGTATTTTCAGTGATAATTGACTCCGTTGTCACCTTAAGGATTATCTTTGTTTTTTTGTACACATTTTATGAAAATAGAAATATACCTAGTATGAAATGAGTAGCTGCAATATTATCTGAGAAAAATGACCTTTACGAATTGTTTGTTTTCTTTGAATTCCTTATCAGTTACAAATTATTTATCTTTAAGTGATTGGCCTGTCCGTACTCTGTCTTGTGTCCTGTCCTGTTTTTGTTTGGGGTCCTCCTGGGCTCCTTGCCACTGACTTGTTACTGGGTCGGTTGGGGGCTGTGTTCATTGGACGCCGCCTTTCCTTGATGATGTTGTTTATCATATTTCAAACAACGACGAAAGGATCATGACAACGGTTCTTTATGTTGATTGTCACATAAATGAGGTTAAACATAAACAAATTTTAATAAACCAACAAAAAAGTGAGTGTGAACCACAACCTAATTAAAACGAAGGCGGTCGGTCGCGAATGAGTCTATATAGACATATATTTATGTATAAATGCAAATATGCACCAAATCAAACAAGCTTTAATCTTTACTCTGACCATTTTCTACGTCATAAGAAATGTACACATTATTGACAAATTAAAAAAATTGTAATGAGAAATGGCTATCAGTTTAATTATTTACACTAGCAAACAGTTGAAACAAAATAACCTCCAACAAAATATATACTATAAACAGTCACAAGAAGCCCTGCCAGAAAATATAAACATATTCAGCTTGAATTCAGGTATATGTCTTATAAAGAAACTTTTTAACTTAGACCATTTCAATCACATATGAATGGTACTATAAATCTTACCATAGAAATATTCAAGAAATCTAATGAACGTGTCAATATATCAAAACATGCATAAAACACTGTTTAAAAAACATTTTAATATAAGCAACGTTGTTAAGCTTTTACTTTGAGATAATGTTTTTAAATGTAAACTTATTTAGCCATACATATTGCTATCTGCTATTTAAAATCAATTTGGAGAACAACATTATAAAATTTTATTCTGTATTTTATTGAATAATGAAACAAAACAAGTGGAAGGTACAAGAAAATTGGTCAAATTCGTGATTAACAAAAATGGTTTTTTTATTGTTTAAGTTACACTTTGAAACCCAAAAGTACAATACAAATTTTACCATAGATAATTTGATATTGAAATAAAAGGAAATGACAAAAGGTCCGGTTAAAGCAATGAAGTATACTCATGATGCAAGACAAGCAACTGCAAGAATATATATTGACCTTTTGAAATAACAGAGTTAAAGAAACTGACTATCTAACGAAAGCAATGTAGATAGAAAACAGCAACAACAAAGCCCATAAAATAATGTTGACAATAAGCAAGCGATAACTTCATCTAGCTGGCTATTAAAAAACGGTACTAGAAAATGAAATTCACCAAAGCTTTTTTTTGCTTTTGTGTCTACAGTTCGAACAAACACAATCAAATTATCCAAAGGCTCAAATGCATACAAAATCGCAAGATATTTTATAGGCTTTGTAACGGATGTCGGCATTAATATTATGAATGTATAACAGTTTGTTATTGTCAGGTGTGATCTTGTTAACAGATTAAACTCGCATTGTAGATGTAAAACGTTAATTTTTGTAATACTTTTGTATTATTATAAAATTGTTCAGTAAACACTTTGTGAAATACGTATAATAGGATCGCACTAACTTGATCTAAAGTCACGAGAAGAGAATATATTCAAGACGTCCTATCGCATAGGCGTATCGTCTCCATTTTTCAGTATCAGGCCGCCATGGTATTATAGTGTCCCTAATTTTTCCTTACACATGTCATGTAACCAAATTCCACTTCAGACAACATATTTGCATCAATCTGCTTACGGATATGCCATGTATGCATGGATATAAAATGACGGTGATACGAATTGCGAAACGCCGTAGCCACAAGAATGAAAAGAGACTACCTACTAGTATTAGATGATGCGATATAATTATAAAGGAACGATTCAATGGAACAATATTTTTGTGCGAGTTTAAATCACCCAATCTTTTTAGCATACGTGCTTCGTCGTATCGTTGTGCGTATGTGTTTAGGTATATAACAGAGCATCGATGCGAAGAAACACTTGCCATGAAGGAACACCGTTCAAAACAAACGTCTTTCAACTGTAATGCACAATTCACTTATCGTTGTCTATTTGCCATAGATCAACTTCAGCTTGACAGGTAACTGCTACATGAAGACAGTACCACCACGACCACCCTCCCTCCTTTAGTCAATGTGATAATCATTTCTAATTTTTCAAGAGTACAATGATAAATAGTAAAAAGTAAGAAGTCAACCAACGTCTATAACGTAGAAATTAAAGCTGTCTCAGACTCCGTTTACGTCCGCTAGGACCGGCTTAAGAACAATTCAACATTTAAACATGAAATGACGAAATTTAAAATCATCTGCAGATTGTTTTATGGCAGTTATTTAAGAAATAATTTAGCCCAAACATTCATTTTATCGCTCAATAACATCACTGTCTGGAGTTCGGATGCGAGGAATTATATCACGAGGGCGTAGCCCGAGTGATATAATGATGCGCATCCGAACGATCGATTTGGATATATTATTTCGATCCTAACACGACATCAGCAATAAATGATGCCGTACCTGATAATAAGCTGAATTGCACCTGATTTGTTTCCGTACTTATTTTCAGCGCGTCGCATTTTTTGGTGGTTACGTCACATGTATATAATGATTACGTCACAAGTCTAAATATAGAACGTCAACAGTGACTTTGCATAATTACACACACTTTCGGTTCTTCTATGTTCAATAGGGAAAACTGCGGGTCGTGTTAGAATATGGAACCTCCAATGTGACACATTAGAAACAGCATATGGCCCCAAAGTAACAGAATGAGTTTATCATAACCGAGACAACAATAGCAAAACTATATAAAATTTGAAAGATGAAACCTGCATGTCACAGACAGGGGATCAAAATCTCTGATATTGTTTGAAAAATCATTTTAGCACCGATTTTGGAGAAGGTGGATTGTATCAATATCAGGACAAGAAAAATTAACTTTTTGCGTAATTATACACCAGAGAAAATGTTTCGCGGCTACTTTTCGACATCAGTGTATAAAGATGATTGACAAAAACATTTTTTCTATTGATCTGATACCTAACTCCCAAAGGAATTCCTCTTCTGTACCCAATCTCAAGTTAACAAAAAAGTAACAATATACAAAAATATATTAAAGTACTTATGTTTTAATGATTAAATTTTCTTTTAAGTAATTATTTTTGAAGTATACATTATTATAGATTGTGAGACCCTCTTTAACGTAAACATGGCATGGATCACCAAGAAGAAAATAAAGAAATAACCTAAATTTGTTTTCAAAATTCATAAGCCTCATCATTCTTTTATAAAATGATCATTGTGATTTTTTTTGTGATCTTTAACGACGTCATTCTTTTGGAAACTCATATGAGGTTACGTTTAAATTAAATACAATTTTCGCAGGCGGAAATCAGCATATTTTGTTTCGCGTTATTTATAAATAACACATTTTATGAATGGTTCTCTTCTCTTACGTAGCTAAACTATTAAAATACGTAATCATATTTTTGGTTTGTGTTTATTTACTTGATGTATTCATTTTTTAAAAATTCTAAAGCTGTTTTACAGTATGTTGGCCGGTAATTACCTTTAAATTTAATCATGTTAATTAGTGGTAATTTATTCGTTAATATTGTAATTAGGCGTAAAAACACGATTTCAACCTTATTAAAACGATACATCTTATAAAGGCTGTATAAACGTACACATATATAAAGCTGTATTGGGAAAGTGTCAACATTAAGCATTTTTCTTTATAACAGTAAATATAATACATTTAAAAAAAAATGGAAGATACTTTAAGCACATATTTTTTCCGAGCTCTAGTAAGTATCAATTGTAACTTTTTTGTGAATGGATTGATGATGTAAATGTTTATCAATATTTCGTCATTCTATAAATAATGTAATAACAAATTTCTGCAAGAAAAAATGTTTATTATTTAACAATCTGGAAAACAACCTTTTTACTGAAACAATGATATAATATCACCCTAAGTTAAAACAAAATGTTATTTATTTATTTATTTATTTATTTATTTATTTATTTATTTATTTAACAATTACGGATAAATGCAATACAAAAGCTTATACCATTCAATGGACACCTTCATTTCGGAATAAACAAAAATGTCTTGTAAGTCAAATTTTTCTACTTTCTAATTTCTATTGTAGAGAAAATGTTTAAAATATTCAATACTCTATTACAGACTGTACTCGGAATCTTTGCATTAACAAATGGACAATTCGGTAGGTGAAATATTTGATTTATTTCTAAAAATAGTTCCTTTAAAATTAATATTTGTATGTTTTCATGCACATTAAAATGAATATCATCTTTCAGATTACAATAGCTCAAGTCCGGACTTTTTTCCTAATTCATAAAACATATTCAAACATATTCATGTTAACTTTAAAATTGTTTGAGTTAAACGATTTCTTTGAGTAGAGTTGTGACTCATACCTTACCTTGCTTTTCAGGGGGATATGGGAGAAGACGAATTATACCGAGGAGAATATACCCAAGATATCCTATGGGCGGTGGTTTAATTGACCCATATTCTAGAGGATCTATTATAGGCGATCCTTACGTTGATCCATATATTGGGACTGATACACTTGGAGGTGGCATCTATCCTGGAGGAGGTATAGGTGTTATTGGAGGTCGACGACGCCCAGTTGTCGTAGATGACAGTTCGAGGAGAAATGCTCAGGATATAAATGTATCAAACAATAATGTTAATGTGGAACGTAGCACAGGTTCAGATAATGTCCATGTAAACCAAGGTAAGTGATTCACCTTCTTAATAGTTACTGTAGATTTTATAATCAAAGCTGTACAGATGTATGTTAATGTAAAACAAACAAAAAAACATTCATGATATTCAAATATTTTACAAAACGCGTCAAATTAAGTTCCGAACTAAAGCATCTACACAGCAGTCTGGTAAAAGCCTATGTTATGGTTGGAATGTAAAGATAAAATTCATGTACTATAACATTATCTATGTTACTTAGGATATCATTAATGAACATACATTTAACCAAACATTAAATCATGGATTCATTTCAGAATTCAAATTCAGCATTGTTCCTATTAATTATTTCAGTTACAAACACTAGGACTTGTGAGTGTCAAACGGGTCATATAATGGGAGGACAATGTGGTCCATATCAACAATGTGTGTCAGATTCATGTAGTGGCGGAGGAGGTAATGGAGTATGTCGGGACACTGGCATTGGCGGTCCCATGATGGGTGGTCCAGTTATGGGTGGCCCAGTTATGGGTGGTTTTGATGGACATGGTCATGGTGGATGGTGATAGTATAATTGTACAATTTGTAGAAAATATCAATTAAATATTTATGTCAAAACGTTCATTGTATTTCATTATTCCTATAATGGTGCCATATGCATGAAATATGACTTTAATTTACTCTTTGTAAATGACCCCAGTAAATATATTTGAATAGGAAGAAGGTTAACTTGTTCGTCAAAGATCCAAGACATATACACAGTTTCAAGTGCAAATGATTCAAACAACCATTTACCTTTGTTGATGTTGATGTTGATTTTGACTTTGTGTTTAATCAAAGAGTACGTATGTATGTAAGGCTTTAAACAATGAAAGAACAACTAATTTAAATAATGGACCATATCAGTCGTCCGGTCCCTAATGAACACTAGGTATTTCAAAGACAGTTTATTTCTGTTAAAGTACATTTTATTACAAATATATAAAATACAAAAAGATGAATATTATATATTTGTTAAACGAATCTTCGTGTAACACACTCCATGTGACACTATGAACCATTTAATAATGAAAAGTGTTTGCACAGGGGAGGTAGAAACATGATACTTAGTGGTTACACATATTTAAGACTTTATATAAGCAAATTAAGACAAGTAATACAGCTAACAATTGATTAGACATGTCTCTGGTCATCATACCCAATTTTTTTATTGATTGACAAAAAACGAAAGCGAAATAGAAAAGGAGCATAATTCTAAAAGTGCTAAAAGATTTATCTCCCACAAGTGAACCACAAGTTCTAGTTTAAAGTGAAAAACTTAAATGACAAAAATTATTGGTAGTAAATCATACTAAGTTATTATATTGTTTATGCCCCCGTAGAGCGGCATATGAAAAGTTTGTCCTTCTGCCCGTGCGTCTCCACTTACACAACATTCGTGTCCGGACAGTTACTTTGCCATGATTTGAAGGATTTTAAAATAACATAGTACAAATGTTTAACACATCAAGACGACGTGTAGCGTCTAAGACTCATGTCCCTACCTCAAAGATCAATTTAACACTTACAGCATGTGGAATTTCACATTCTCACAATTAAAGTAAAACGATAAACATTTTAATAACTTAGCATATATGTCTACCATTTCAAGACGACTTGTCGCGTCCTGTACTGTCTACCTCCACGGTCAAAGTCACACTTATCGATTGAAGATACTCATACTCATACACACAAGAAATGTCTGAAGGTACACTTTCGTTTCCGGACTGTATATTTGTCATCTATTTAAGGATTTGTAAATAACTTGGTCCAAATGTCTTCTCCATCCACGTTGCGCTTAAAGCACATGTCACTACCTAAAAGATCAATGTTACACTTAGAAATTGAAAGTACACTTTCTTGTCCGGACTGTAACTTTTCCATGCTTTGAAGGATTTAAAAAATTACTTAGCATAAATGTTTACGAATACAATTGCAAATATGCACCATATTGAACAAGCCTTAATCCTAATACTGAATATTTTTAACGTCATAAGGAATGTACACATGCAGTTGACAGTATTAGCAATGGCGAAATAAAAATTGGCTATCATTACACTGACAATGGCATACAGATTAAAGCAAATTATCTCCAACAAAAATATGCTTTAAACAGATACAATTATACCTGCCTAAACAACATAAACAAATTCAGTTCGAATTTAGCTTTGTGTCTAATAAAGATATTAAATTAGTCCATTTCAATCAAATTTGAATGGTTACATGAATCCAATGCACGTGTCTAACATTGTATAAGCATTGTATAAGAACGATTTTGATATAAACAATGTTGTTTAAATTTAATTTCAATATATTTATGTTTTTTAATGTAACCTTATTTGACCATACACATTGCCCTTAAAATCGATGCCATTTGCTAGTTAAAATCAATTTGGAAAACGACTTTATAAGATTTGATTCTGTATGTTCTCGAATAAAATATGTTTAAACTAAAACATTGTAACACAAAACATACAAGTGGTAGACACATGAAAATTAGTCAAAAACATGATTGAGTGAAACCAATTTAAAATGATTCAGTTTTATTTAAAACTCAAAAGTAAAAAATACCCATTTAAGTCATCGATTTTTTTCTACGGATCAATTGATACAAAATCACTGGAAGAAACAATAAGGTATGCTATTGATGATTTTCATGCGATGATAACAATCAATAAACCAAAGCAAGAGCAAAAATAGATTTTGAAACTAAAAAGTGTGAGACTCGAAATAAAAACATACCAAACAACAAAACAAATATTAAAATAAATATATTAAGACAATAAGAAAACATTGACTTAATCTAAGTTTAATGAAGAATTGGAGCTAGAAAAATGACCATGACCAAAAAAACTACCTTTAATTTCAGAATATATCACTTCAATATCTTTATTTTTCCGGTGTCCCATTTTTCTTACGGGTATATGAATTTTGTTGACAGACTGTTCTTATTATTATGAATAAGCCTCATGCTCTCTTTGTTTCTAAATATATACCAATTTTGTCCTTAATAATGTCATATTAGCAAAACATCTATATTTTGTACAGTTTCTGTTATACCTTTCCATGTTATACATTTAAAAATAAAATTCAATGATCCCAAACACAAACGTATAATAAAAGGGTTTTTTTTCATTGAAAACAAACACACGACACCAAAGCGACCAAACGATATTTCAAAGTGATAATTATAGTGATAGGCTGAATTGACAAAAACACGGACCAAACGACTGTACTATGCGAATTTTGCGGGGAAAAAATCTTTCCATCGCGTCATTTTATTACTCTATTCTATTTCGCTTAGTCGTATCGGTCTGTGGCTTCGTCATATCGTCCTGTCGCTTTGGCGCATCATTCTATCGCTTCGGTGTATCGTCTCCACTTTTCATTTTCAACCCGTCATGTTATGGTATTATAGTGTCGTCGATTTTCCTTGTACGTGTTATATAACCAGATTCCTTTTCCTCTCCAGACGACGTCAGTGAATCAATCTGCATAGTTAGGATATGCATGGGCATTAAAAAGGACGGCGATACATAACGCGAAACACAGCAGCCACAAGAATAGATCAACTTCCGCTTGATAGGTAACTGATACACAAATTCACCTCCGCCATCACCACGGACCCTCCTTAAGAGAATGTGATATTCATTTCTAATATGTTTTGAGAACAGTGAACAACACTTTTGAAGCAACGTATATAATGAGGAAGTTAATACTGTTTCAGACTCTGATTGTGCCTGTTTTTGAAGGTAGTGATATTTTGCCATTTACCGTCCTATTTCGCTAGGAACGGTTTACGAACAATTCAAAATTTAAACATCAAATGACGAAATTATGAACCACCCGCAAATGTGTTTATACAGTAGTTATAATGGAACCTTCAATGTGACACGTTTGTGCCAATACATTAGAAGCGGCATATGGTCCCAAATAGCATGTATGCGTGTACCATAATCGAGCAAAAAATAGCAAAACTCAAAACTAAAATAGAATTTTAAAAGGGAAACAGATGTTATGAAACAGCGGTCAGAAATCTTCAATATTGCTTAAAAAATCCTTTTTTACACCGATTTGAGAGGAGGCCGATAGAAAATTATTCAGAAGTTTAAATGATTCTTACTTTCCATATTATATAAATGTCAAAAAATAAACTTATTGCGTAACACCAGATAAAATAGCCAAGAGATGATCAAATTGTAACTGTGCGTGTGCTATACAAGGTTATCTTTTAAAAAAGCTAGTAGCGACTCGCTTCGTAATTTTTTTCCAGGGACGCGTTTAAATGTAAAAATGATAGTTCTGTTAGCTTAAGAGACTTCAGCGAACATCAAAATACGTAAAAGTGAAATAAAGTTATGGAAGCCAGTTCTCTAAGTTTAACAAAGAGGAATATGAGTATATATGAAGATGCATGTAAACAGATAGAATGAAGTCCCTATGTCTATGCACATTTACTGTATGGCCTGTTGACTTTGACCAAAAAAATCTTAGATAGGTAGAATTCATAAAGATGTCTCTTTATACGAAGTTAAGTTGTAATATGTTATTTAGTATTGGAATGAGTGACAGACACAAGTCCTAAAGTAAACACAAGTTGTCAGAAAAGCCGGGATTCTATTAAAAAAATATAGGGATTCCGGATTTTGACCAGTCTAAGATGTTTTTCAGATAAGCCGGGATCCTATTAAAACATATAGGGATCCTGGGAATTGACCAGTTCAAGAATATAGTTTTCAGAATTAAAATATAAAGAGATCCAAGGAATTGGCCAGTTCAAGAATATAGTTTTCAGAAAAGCTGGGATCGCATTAAAACATAAATGGATCCCGGGATTTGACCAATTCAAGAATGTAGTCTTTGATTTTTCCAATTAATAGGCATATATATTATAAGTAATGGGATTTCCGCATTTTCAGTTTGTTAATAAAAACCTCTAAATATATTACTATCCTAAGTTTGATTTATTTAACGTTCATTACATACAATAAAAAAACTTAACGTTTAATGTCCTTTCATTACGATCAACACAAATATAGTTTATTAGTTTTTCCTCTATATCTTATACGATCCCGGATCCCAGCCAGTCAGAGCCTCCCGGACCCCGGCCAGTAAATATATACACTAAATACCGATAAAGGATAAAATGACCGGAAAAAAAGAAAAAGAAAAAATGTACAGAACCAGATGTACACTTATGTTAATTAACCAAACGAAAACTTAATACAGAGAAACAGGTGAGATCGCTAAAAAAAAGTCAGTGTGAATATGATTTTTTTTAAAGAATTCATGAAAACAAACATTTTAATCATCATTATATCTTTGCGCTCAAAATAATTCTTGCTGCTTTTTAAAAATGGCGTGAAAATTGAAGGTTTTTTGACGCTATGTAAGATTAAATTTGATTGGCTAAATAGTTTTGGATCCTAGCCCTGATAGATAAATTCTGTAGAAAGCTGGAAGCCAAGCTTCGATTAAATTTTTGGATGGATTCGGAGTTTTAGGTTGTTTTGCAGTAAAATCCTAACGTAATACCGGCTCGCCTTGGCGAGCCGGCAAAACTATGAAAATCCCGGGTGATCGTAAATGAGAATGACGTTCCTATTATGTCTACAGAAAGTCATATGTTTCTACAATATAACGATAACTTTTAAGTATGGAAGTAAAAGAAAGAAAATCTATCAAAGTTAATAAACTAAATATTTTATCTATTGAATTAAAACCTAACTTTCAAGGTATTTCCTCTTCTGTAACGCCATGTCAAGTTAACAAAAAAATAGCGTTTAGAAAATAATAAAGTGCTATTGTTTTCAATTATTAAATATCATATTAAGGAATTATCTTTGAAATTTCCAGAGTATTGAATAAATGGTGAGACCATGTTTTACGTAAAAAAGCAAAGATCATCAAGAAGAAAATAAGGAAATAATCTAAACTATCTATAAAATACATAAGCTTCATCATTCTTTAATATAGATATCATTGTGAATTGTTTAGGTGATTTTCAACGAGGTCATTCTTTTGGAAAAATCATATGAGGTTACGTTTAATTTAGATACAATTTTCGCAGGCGGAAATCAGCATTTTTTGTTTCGCGTGGTTTATAAATAATACATTTCATGAATGATTCTCTTACGTAGCTAACCATTTAAGATACGTAATCATATTTTTTATTTTGGTTTCTGTATATCAACTTGATGTATTCATATTTTATTCTTAAGATGCTTTTTTATAGTACGTTGGCCGTTTATTACCTTTAAATCATGTTAATGAGTGGTAATTTATTCGTTAAGATTATAATTATGCGTAAAAACACGATTTCAACCTAATTAAACCGATACATCTTATAAAAGTTGTATAAACAGTATACATATATAAAGCTGTATTGTGAAACGTTCAACATTAAGCATTTTTCCTTACTACAGTAAATATTATACATTTTAAAAATAAAAAATGGAAGAAACTTTTAGCATATATTTTTTCCGAGCTATGGTAAGTATTAATTTTTACTTTTTGTGAATAGATTGATAATATAAATGTTAATAAATTTTACGACATTTTGAAAATGATTTTAGTAGTAAACAATATGTAATATAATGACAAATTGCTGCAACGAATTTTTTTTATTTAATTTACTTAAACAATCATATAATATCACCCTAATTAAAAAAAAAATGTTTATTACAATTTGTCAGTATTCAACAATTTGATTTTATTTCCACTAAGCATCTTTTTTTTCTTTATTCATTTATTTAACAATCATTGATAAATGTAATACAAAATATATCAACTTTGTTCACGATGCGTAATCGTTTCTGGCTGACGCTGATTTGGAATACTTCCCTGTTCCTGAACTGATTTTCTCAAAATATAGTGCTTTTTGTAAAATGTTTTGTTCAGTTATGAATTTTAGGATGTACTTTTATGACAACCTCGTAAGTTGTAGGCTTACGTAATACAAATTCATTACCGGACAAATCATTTTACTTAAACCATTTAATTATTGCGGATTGAATTTTTCTATAATATGATCATGAAATACCTGAAAAAATAAAGATAATAATGACTTTTTGGCAATTTTATACTAGTGTTTACTACAACTTCACTGGCATGTGAAATTTGTTTTTCGATTCCAACTGATAAAAGACCGTTAACCCATTACTTCATGAGCATTTTGTGAAAAATGGCTGTTTTCATTGAAAAGTCTCCCGTTACAAGTTCAAACTGCTATAATACTATAAAAACTGCTTCAACACTAATCAAACTTGGCACAAATGTTGACTGGACCATTGCCCTTGCAACAACATGCTCAGGCTTAAATTTTCTGTAACCATGGCAACGAGGGGACATCTCAAAATTGCCAAAAATCACTATTTTGCGTTGATTTTTTCCATCAAAATTGATTTCAAAGTGCTGCAACTTCTCAATGGATTGAGATAGAGTCAAATGCTTTTCAGCGTTGGTTACACGTTACCTTATGATCAATCTGGGGTCATTTACAGCCTCTCACAAGTCCAAAATTTTCTTGGCGATGAGGGGGACTCCGCCCCCCTTCAAACCCCCCAAACAGAAGGGGGCACATCCCCCTTCTGGCAACCCCCTGATGTATCTTTTGGTTGGGGGGCCGCGCCGAAAAAGAGGTCACTTTTTTAACAACATTTCTCAAACAAAAACAAGTGTTTGGGGCCTAAATAAGGCATTTTTTCATCATTTGAGACAACAAAAAGGGGGGGGGGGGTGAAAAAGGCGTTAAAAGGCGTGTATATGAAGTAATGGGTTAACAAACCTTATAAAGTTACATATTATTGCCTTAAACATTGCAATGTTCCGTGCAAGTAGAATATTCAAAGACTTATAGTCAAGCTCAAAATCTAATTTATCTCTGTCAATCCGGTGAAAAAATCCAAATCAGTTCAGGAACGGGGAAGTTTTCCAAATCAGCCCGAAACGATTACGCACCGTGTTGTTCATATAAATCAATAAGAACATTTATCAACAACTTATTAAATAAGTAAAAATTTAAATCATAAAATGGGCATCCACATTTAATAAAAAAATATTTGCAAGTCATATTTTGCTGTTTAATTCTACTATCGAGAAAATGTTTTAAATATTCAACTCTCTTTTTTTCAGATTGTACTCGGAATCTTTGCATTAACAAATGGACAATTCGGTAGGTGATATATTCAAGATATATCTAGTAAAATTCTTTTAAAATTCAAATTAAAATGAATATGATCTTTCTTTACAGCAGATTTATATTAGTTCAAAACAAAGATTTTGTCCTCCTCCATTAAACACACAACTTTGCAAAAAGCATCGAACCATAACCAAATACAAACTTGACCTGCGCATTTCTATCACATATCCATATGTCCAAAATGAGTTGGATGTGTACATGGGAAGATACTGAACGGAAACTGAACATTTTTCAAAGTTCAAGAGGTCAAAAATCATCGAACCATGGCCAAATATTAACTTGACCTGCGCATTCCTATGACATATCCATATAATAGATTGAAGTTGAATGTATACAACTGTTGGGGAGATAATTAACTTAAAATTTCTTATTTTTTCAAAGTAAAAGGGGCATAACTCTGCCAAAAATCATCAAACCATGACAAAATTCGAACGTTATCTGCGCATTTATTTGACGTATCAATATGTTAAAAAAAATGTCAGTTAAATGTGTACAAAGTTTGGAGAGAAACTGAAAGGAAACTGAAAATTTCTGATTCTTTGCAAAGAAAAGGGGCATAACTCTGCAAAAAAACATCAAGTTCTGACCAAATTCAAACTTGACCTGCACATTCCTTTTACGTATTCATATATCATACTTGAGTTGAATATGCATAACTGTTAAAGAGATAATGAACGCAAACTGAGAATGTCTCTAAGGGGCATATCTCTGTTAAAAATCAAAGGACCATGACCAAATTCGAACTTGACCTGCATTTTGTTATGATATATAGATATGTCAAATTTGAGTTAAATGAGTATAATTTCTGCTAAGATAATGAACGGAAACTTATGATACGGAATGACGGTATGACGGAACTACCATAACATGGTTGGGGCATAAATATTCATATTAATCTTACAATTGGTCTAAGTTATACGCTTTTTTTGAGTAGAGCTGTGTCTCATAACTAAACCTTGCATTTCAGGGGGATATGGGAGAAGACGAATCATACCGAGAAGAATGTACCCAAGATATCCTATGGGTGGTGGTATGATTGACCCATATTCTAGAGGATCTATTATAGGCGATCCTTACGTTGATCCATACATTGGGACTGATACACTTGGAGGTGGAATCTATCCTGGAGGAGGTATAGGCGTTATTGGAGGTCGACGACGCCCAGTTGTCGTTGATGACAGTTCAAGAAGAAATGCTCAGGATATAAATGTGTCAAACAATAATGTTAATCGAGAAGTTCGTACAGATTCAAATAACGTCGTTGTAAATCAAGGTAGGTGCCCGCATTCTTTATGGTGTCCGTGTTATAACGCTTATTTTACCAATATTATCATTCTTATTATAAAGGTTGCAATGATGTAAAAATAAAGAGTCATCAGTCAGTTTTAATCATCAGAAGTATGTTTTATTTAATCAAGTCATTTATTTACTTTAAAGCAAATCAGATGTGTAAAATTTAGTATATAATAAACTCATTAAAATATTGGATTGAAAAGTTTGGTACAAAAGAGCTATTGAAACATCATTTGCATGACTGGTATAAAACATTTCAGAAATTCTAACAACATTGAAAAAACCATTTCAATAATTATTTCGGAACTTTGTTTTGAATCACAGACAGCATATATCAGTTCCTATCATCTATTTCCTACGTAATAATTACTGGTAGCCAACACGATAACTACTTATGATTTTAAGATTCAGCATCACTCGAGTTCTAATAAACAATTCCTTTGTATTTTTTTCCAGTTACAAACACTAGGACTTGTGAGTGTCAAACTGGTCATATAATGGGAGGACAATGTGGTCCATATCAACAATGTGTGTCAGACAGTTCATGTAGTGGCGGAGGAGGAAACGGAGTATGTCGAGACACTGGTATGGGCGGTGGTTTTATGGATGGTCCATTTGTGGGTGGTCCCGTCGTTGGCGGTCCCATCATGGGAGGCCCTGGTGGTTTTGTTGATGGACATGGTCATGGTCATGGTGGAATGAGGATTGTTTAACTGTATCAAATGTATATAACTTCAATAAATTATTTTTAATAAAACAGTTTAAATTATTTATTTGTTATTGTTTTCACTCTTTTAAGCAAATAACAAAATAGTTTTGTTAGTAAACATACGTTTATGCAAATTAGACGTAATTAAAATTACTGAATATGAATACACATCCGGTTGAAATGGATATAATCACTTAGGTTTTTGCTGGTTTTTTTATTTGTTCTTCTTTTAACAAATTAAGTTTTGTAAATTCTGGGAAGCGACAGTTGTCAAGAAAACAAAACAATTCGTATTTAGTTCTTTCTATTCGGCTATTTTCTTGTTGGGTGGTTCCAGTATTCCTCACTTGAATACTGTTGAATCACCCTTAGGATATGTGGCCTGCTTTTTAAATTTGTCTTTTGACGTCTTATCTGTGATATGCAGGCTTCATAACCTCTGATCCCCTTTCGAAATTCCAGTTTATTTAGTTCCGCCCATTGCTTTCTCGTTTAGGGTACACGCATTTCTTTACTTGGGGACCATATGCCGGTTTTCATGAATGGCACTTACGTGTCACATTGAAGGTTCCATGATAACTGTGATATGAACACATCTGCGGTTGTTTCAAAATTCAAAATTGTACCAGTTCATTTTAATGTTGAATTCTGCCTAAGCCGGTGCTAGGGGGTGTGGACGTTAGTTCGCACTTGACAGTACCGTCCATGAACAGGCTCAATCAAACCGAGCCTGCAACATTTTCAGTTTTGCCGTGTTGGGCTTTCTTTAGGGATTCTTATTTTCTCTAGTTTAAGTGAAAGGAAAATAAATATGTAAGAAAATAATACATTATTAGAACACTCTGACTTTAATCTTTTTTAAATACTATTCTTTTTTCTCGTTGAATCCTAGGAAAATATTTGCTGTGTAGAATTATCTAAACCTTTGCACAATGACTTAAAATGAAATAATATTTTAAATAAAATAATGTATAATTATGCTTTAATTTGTTTTTCTATTTTTCGAATGACTTAAAGAGCAAAGACATTAACTTTCTTTAGTAGATATCTCGAAAGGTGATGAAAGTGACTTTCTATAAATGTGTTCCAATTATGATTCTTTTGTTATGCAAAGTATATGAAGACACCACGTACTAGGTTGACAATAGGTCGGTAACATTACACACTTTTCACCGCGGTAGGTTCGAATCCCGTCGAGGGCTTTAGAATCTTTCATATGAGGAAGCCTCCAGCTAGCTTTTAAAATGGAACGTCGGTGGTTCTACTCAGGAGCCCGTTCGTGCATGTAGTAATGCACGGAAGGCCACTTGAGCTATACTTCCACAATTCAAGTTTGAAATTCGCCATATGACCTATACTTTATTTGCGCGACGTAAACTTCAGCAAATTAGGTAACAGTTTCGAGCTTTAAATTTGTCAATGTAAAAATACCGCTAATGTGCATCGTGCACTGAGGCATTACTCTTTATATATCAAACAATCAAATATGAAAAAACAATGTCATAATTGTGAATTGGTACCGACCTTCTGTGAACACTATAGTGTTGCACTCACCAAAAGTTACTTTATATCTTAGTTTTCAGCATACCTAAGAGCCTCATCTTATTTAAGGTTTATGACATGCACAATATACAAATTTATCACACTGATACTCCTGAAGGTGGGGTCTATCTTTATCCTCCAGGAAGTATGTGTATTATTGGAGGCCCAGTTGTAAAACATGACAATTTTAGAAGAAATGTAATGACATAATGTAACAAACAATAACGTTTATTGAGAAATCCTAAATCATTAGTGTCGCTTCTTTAGAAACAAGCTTTACTTTTGACAACTAAGAATTAAGTATTGAGGAAAAAACGTACAAAGATTTGCATATCAGACTGTTTTTTGATGTTGTTTTTTTTGTTCGTTTTACCCATGCCGAAAAGTGTATCTTCCAAAGAGATGTCAGATGTGTCGCTTGCTATAAATTACGTCATGTTTAAGTATGAATGAACCAAGTTAAGATGCCGCCATTTCGCTGTATACCTTATTGTGAGAAAATAGGAAAATAGTTAAGAATGAAATGACATCAATTTTTATTGAAAAATTGTTTTATTGTGAAAAGCATTTTTAATAAGATAGAATATGGTTAAATATGCAAAAAAAAAAGACAGTACATGGAATATCTGTCCCCCGGGACGAACTGCAACATATGACAGATATTAAAAGTGTAAGCCATCAACGTTAATGATAGGTCTATGTTACTAAGTATAATGTCAATACTAGCTGATTTTCGTACAGTCTGACCCGTGTACCGTGTTCACTAAGAAAAATCTGGATCAGGATCCAAATGATCCTGATGTTATGTTCATTTCTGTATGAAACTGAAATTTATCTTTTTTTAGGTCGAGAGTGACACTATACACATCCAAGTGTTATTGGTGAGTGCACAGATAAAAGTCAAAATGACTTTAATTTTGCAATTTAGACTAACTCCGGAATTAAGAATTCATGTATTTAGGGAAGCGAAGCTATAAAGGTAAAAGTTAGTTTGCTGGGAAAACCTCCGGAAAACGTCTATTATGTTTAATTTAATATTTTACTATGCAAATATTATCAATTATCCATTACTATTTTGATCAACTGTGAAAGTCCATGATTTGTTATATTATTAAATAGTAAATCAAGTAGAATTAATAACGGGGAATTTTTGTGATTTGTATTTTGATCCTGATCGTGATCCAAATCTTTTTGTACATGTATCATAGTGAACACGGGACCAGGCTCGATACTTTTCGGCAGTTGTATTGCTATTCTTTTCAAAAAAAAATCATTCTTAATTCCTAAAACTGTCATTTGAAGGCACATTATGAATCAGAAATGAATACATTTTTATTTCTTTCTTTCTTTTTTTTCTTTCTTTATTTCTTTAAAAGGGAAACACGAGTTTAATAACGTTTAAACAATGAGTTAAGAGTATTTTAAATGCTCAACATCTGGAAAAAAGTAGCACTGAATTTGATTTTATTTAGTAGCAAAATGTAAAATAATGAGTATTTTGACTAACATACAAACTGCTAAATCACTATTAATGTATTAATTGCCAAAACGCAGCAGAAGCAACTGATAATAATTGACAATGAGTAACTTTTTGGAAACTAACTATAACAGAAGCCCCAAAACAAAATGCCTTTGAGGAATAAAAATAAAATAATAACTTGGGGAAATAGGCCTTTACAAAATTGAAATAAAATGAAATAAGGCCAAATAAGCCATGGTTATGGTTTTAACAATTAAAGAATAGACACATTATTAAAGATACCTGAATATGCATTTGAGCAGGGTTAATTAAATGGTCTGAATAAAGTATTCGTTCCCTTTCCCCATTGGCTGTAAGTGACATTGACGTAAACTTCGATTTAACCACAGACGCAAAACAAAAATAACGTTCATCAAATTATTTTCTTACTAAATAAACAACATAAGGACCATATTCCCTCATCAGCTGTCAAATGTTATTGTTCTTTCGCAATTTATGTTTCACATCAAAGCATGAAAATGTATTCAATCAAAATTAATAGCGCTTAAGAAAATACTGTGTGGCCACCATCAACATGTTTAAACAAACGTCAACATGTAGTTTGGATGGCATTAATTAGCTTATAAATTTTCCAAGTGAACATAAACGAGGACAATTACAAAAAAAAATGAATTGTTTTTAAACTTTAAATAAAATACCATGAAATGTTCAACAGAATACGTTAAAGTAAAATATATAAGAACAATTAAGTATGCCTGCGAAATGATCGTGAAATATATGAATATCAAATAAGAGTAAATAAGGACAATTGCATCTACTGAATGAGTAAATATGTTTTATATATATTTGTAGATGCTCATAAGACCCGGCGTAATTGATCACACACAGTTTTAATAGCTATATATATCAAAGGGGACAATAAGAAGAACATCACTTAGGTGTAACTAAGGGTCGGTCATTTTTCTTCACACTGCACAAGTCACAGAATTATGGTCATCCGAATTAAACATTTCTGATAAGTAAACTTTTCTTGTGTCCGTGCAAGAGATTATAGTATGTTACTTTTAGTCATTTAAAATAAAAGGTCAATTCATACCGCAGTAAAAATTATTATGTGACGTGTGCAGTGTCACTTACTTTAATATCATTCCCTGCGGTCTGGAGACCGCAGGGTATTGGTACGCGTTTAACTTTTGAGGCATGGAGGAGCACGTGGCATGTTTTCGGTACATGGAGGAGCATGTGATCTGTAAACCGTATATGATTGGTTAATTGACCTTTTCGAAAACCAAGCTAAATACCGTTTGCCGGTACGTTACGGATTTACCTGTAGGGAATTAGTCCGAATTACACCTAATTGAGAACAAAAATCTATTACGTGATATTTCTAATTTTCTATAATTATTTTACCGTTTAAGGTGGAAAAACTTGAATGATGTGTTTGAAAATTATCAATGTTTCTTTAATAAATATCTCAAATTTTACATACAATAAATTGTTTATACTGAAAATCTACAAAATTAAAATATTCGTAGTGGCATCTGCCATAATAAATAGAGATATATTCTGCGTAAACTAGTGTGTTTACTTTATTTATTTTTTGCTCGGAATTATTCATAAAATGGTAGGCCTATTTAATCATTTTCTTAAAAAGAAATAATTGTTTTATGTTCGACCTTCTCCGGTCTTCAACGGTCACATGCAGTTTCCAAAGACCTTCTTCTATATTGTTCGATTATTGTCAACTATATTCCTGTTACAAACGTTTATTTATCCCCCCCCCCCAATAATGTTGAAAATAGTGAAATGAAATATCTTTATATCATTAAAATGTTCACCGCAGGAAACCATTTTACTTGTAATGTCGTTTGTAAGTTTAATACGTTTTAAATAACCAAATACATATTCCATATTCCGTTCAAATTAAATAATTGCAGAAATTAAAATTTGAAGACTAATACTCAAAATAAAAGTGCTTTTTATAGGACGATTTCAATATAAAGTGAAAACTAGTAACATAAGGCGAGTAATAAATTGTGAAAAAAATGATAAGTAACAAAAACCATGTAAATAGCCGTTATTATATACGTAAGTAAACTGGTAAACGTGCGTTAATATGTTTATTTATTCGTAAGTAATGGTGATTCATGTTAATTATTCGTCTTTTTTTCTTTAATTATATACGAACTAAAATCTCATTAACTTAAAAGTAATACGTCTTAAATTGTTTTTCAAACGTAACTTTTGTGTACATTTGCTTTCGTTTCCTTATTTGTTTTATATTACTGAAAAGCGTTGGTCTAGTTTGAAATGGATAGAAAAACGTACTTCTTTCAATTTCTGGTAAGTTAATAATGTATCTTAGTTAAAAATTGTCTTGATAATATTGATAGCATTTGTTCTTATTTGATAAAGTTGACTTACTGATGCTAAAAATGAAAGGGTGAGTGATAGACTGCTAAAACAAACAGAGCCTGAAACAGTTTCAATACAGTCATTTCGGATGTTCTACTAGTATTAATCTCATTTACTTTAATCATTGGAAATCGGACCATTATGTTATACATCCAGTACCTATTCAAAGTTGTGTGAAATTTTGTTCTTTACTTTCTTTCTTTCTTTCTTGTTTTCTTCAGATTGTTTTTGGTGTGCTGATTCTTACTAATGGACAAATTATTGCACAAGGTAAGTCTTGAATAAGCTAATGCTTTTATCAACAAATCTTTTACACAGAGTCAACACAGACGCCTTCTGACAACTTTGAAATGCAATTTGTTCATTTGAATATTCTATGTGAAGTCTCTTTTTATTGTGTGCAGTCTATTAAAAAAGCGTTTACATTTGACAGTCATGTACTTTAAGGAATTATGAAACTTAATGCAATATATTATATGTTTATATTACAATTTATTGTATTTTATGCACTTTTAGTTCCTAAATGGAAATGGTCAAAGTCTTAAAGCTAGCAAATTCAATGTTTGCTGCTAGAGTGGTATATTTTTAACTACCTTTGTATGACCCTTTTGTATATATAAAACATATTTTCTTGGAAAAAGATCATTATGTGTCACTTACTCCACAGCTATATATGACCCTGATAAGACGTTAGTGACGACTTTTGCCACACATGTGTTTACTAACGTGTCTTTTTAAGTTAGATTATTTGGATTTTCAAACTGTTGTTTCCTTTTTATAGTTTTCATTATGTTTGTGTTCACTGCTGAAACCTTTTAGAAGTATATCTGAACGATTTGTGTGTACTGGAGATTGAAAAAATGCACTTTTCTTGAAGATGTTGAAATATTAACATTTCAATGAAATTTATATATGTAAGGCATTGTCCAAATTGACGACAAAAACAATATATATGGCTAAAAGAAATATACAACGTGTAATGTTTTACATTTTACAGAGTCTTACGGAAGTAGAAGAATAATTTCACCTGGACATCCTCTAGGTCTGGGTCCATTTGTTGATTCATACTCACAAGGGTCTGTTATGAGCAGTAGAAGAATCACAGGCGATCCCTACGGTAATCCTTACCCCGATCCGTACATGGGAGGCGGTGTTTTACCAGTTGGAGGCGGTATGATGCCTGTTGGGGGCGGTGTTTTACCTGTTGGAGGCGGTATGATACCTGTTGGAGGTAGTGCGTTACCAGTTTACCCAGCAGAAAATTACCCGGTAGGCGGTATGCTTGGCGGCATCTTTGATGGAAGACGTCACCCATCGATTGTCGGAGATCGGTCAAGTACTAGCGTTCAGACTATAAATGTATCAAACAAAAATAATAATCATCGCTTTCAGACAGGATCTGGTAATGTCGTCATAAATCAAGGTAATCAAATGTTTAAATATAAATAATTTTCTTCAAAATCCTTATCTATATGAAGATTTTTAAAAATACTTTTTGCACCAAACATGGATATTTGACAGCAGTAGTGTTGTAACATGACAATCCCTGATAATTAATACTAAATATTTTACATGTATATATAAACATGCAATACATGTAAAGCTGCGGTCTCACTTACTCCCGGCAGAGCCCAGGGCCACCCCGGTAAGTTACCGGGATGATCCGGGGTGAAATTATTGTTGCGGTCACACTAACCCGGCAGCACTACGGTAATTCCCAGCTAACCACCCTGGATGCTCTCCCGACCATCCAGGCAGATCCCAGATGAAGCTACGGTGTATGCCGGTGTTTCTCCGGTCGTTCCCGGATGACGCCGGAAGAGCCCTGGTCGACCTAGGCAGAGCCCCAGTCGATCCAGGCAAAGCCCCGGCAGAGGCCAGGACGATCAAGGCAGAGTCCTTGTAGAACCCCGGTAAATTTAAAACGCGCGAAAATGATTACATTGATACATAATTTTAATTTAATATTATATCTATTGTTCCGGAACAGTATTTCATGATGATTTTCTGAAAAATTCTTATGCAAGACTGGATAAAAGGGAAATGGGAAGGATTTTAATACAAAGAAGTGAAATCATCGCAAATTGTCGTGATATTTTTTGAAATGAACGGGTTTTGCGGGGCTCTACCGGGATCAACCGTAGCTCCATCGTCATCTTCCGGGACTCTGCCGGCATTCACCGGGGCTCTGCCGGCATCCACCAGGGCTCTGCCAGCATTCACAGGGGCTCTACCGTAGCTCTACCGGCTATATCATGCCCCGAATCATCCCCAGTGTGTGCCGGCAGAGATTCGGTACTTCCCCGGTGTAACCCCGGTCGTTCCCGGCAGAGCTAAGGATGAAGCCGGCAAAGCTATACTTCCCGGATCATCGCGGTGATTTCCATCCGGGGTCGAATGCCTGTTGTTCCCGGATCATCCCGGACGTTGCCGGCAGAGTAACGGATGTACACCGGTTGTTCCCGGTCGTACCCCGGTCGTTCCCAGATCACCCCGGACGTCTACCGGGGCTCTACCGGAGCTCTGCCAGGATGTTAGTGAGATTGTAGCTTAATGAGATCATATTAAAGGACGACTTAAGATGCGGGAAGAAATATGTGTGAAAACTACAATTCTACAATTCTTGAATACACTATAACGATAAAGTCAATTGTGCTTATTAAACTTTAATACTTCACCATAGATGTCAAGTGTTGCGTCGCACCTGTAAAAGTTTGGCCCTTATTTCATTTCAATGTTCTATTATTCTGGTCCTTCGGGATCATTGTTTTCAGCACGTTAGTATTGAAGATTCTAAAGCTGCTACTGCTAAGCTTTAGGATTATGCAATTTTCCATTATCTCTCCTCAATCAAACTGAGTCTGCAATTTTTATATAATATTGTTGTTTCAATGCTTCTGAGGGATCATCCATTTTCAGGACTTTTTAATAATAACCATGATTACACCAACACATTTAGGTATACTTATCATAGTGTTAGTCGCGGTGGGGCCAGCAATGTGTCAGTATCGCCGTTTAAACAAAACACGAAAACCATCGGTTAGGTTTAGATTTCTGTTTCGGTTTGTTTTGTTTTTTGTTGTTGTTGTTTTTGTTTTGTTTTTTTGTTGTTTTTTTTAAACCAAATCAGTCAAAACCATATAGTTATATCATATACATATTCCGTTTTTGTTTCAGTTTCAACTAACGGAAGAAGTTGTTCTTGCTATGTTGGAATGCCTGACCAATGTTACCCACAAGTGTGTATCCCGGACAGTAGTTGTTCAGGTGCAGGAGGCAATGGTATATGCGGTAGCGGACAAGGAATTATGATGATATAACTGTACATTTGTTACCTCAATATATAATGTGTTACAGGTCATATGCAACAGTTATTATATTAATAAATGGCATTTTAGTTTATATTAAACCGAAGGTTGTTGGTGATCAACGCAATTGTACTTTCCATTTACCCCATTGTTTTATTCGATTTGCCATGCTTTGACTATGAAAACTTTAAGGATTTCATAATCAAAAGATCACTTGACCCTTAAAATTTCCTAAAATATCCATGACGACTTAAACTGTCAAAAACTTTTAGAGATCAATGCTTAACAAATACGCATGTGCATTAATAATTTTGCACAATAGCTTTCTATTCAGTATTGCAGTTTTAGATAATGTACCAGCTGCAATGTTTTGAGAAACGGAAGAGATGAAGAAAATATTTCTTTTTTTCAACTGGTTTTGTTTAATCAAATTAATTCAATAATTGAATAATTTAACGTACAAGTCATATAATATTCCTAATTCAAGTGTAAATTTTAGTTATAAATGATTTGCTCTCCTGTTCCCTCCTTTATGTTTGTTCCCCTGCTTGGTGACTTAACGGTGGTACTGTGTAGCTGCGTACTGTTTTGGGCAATCTGATTAAAATCAGCTTCTAATTAAAGCTACGCATTAGGATTTAATAGGCACAAATAGGATGTCACTTTCTATAATACTTTATCTAATACCTAATCTGGAAAGGACGGGTTGGTTGCAAGGATTAAAATAGCTTTCACGGAAAATCCAAATCACATAAAGGCGGAACAAATACGGTGGCAATTAGATCTACATGCAAAAAATAACTTAAATAGATTTGAACTTAAGTATGATTGTGCTGTAGACTGCGTTGAATGATTTGTCGCTCACACTTGTTGGCTTTACCTTACTTCATTCACGAATTCTTGTTTGTTGCAAATGAAAAACACCTGGCTGGTTATTAAATGTCAAATATAATCTAAATCACAGTTAACAATTAACTTTCACTTAGATTCTTTTAAACATATAATAGCTTCATCATTAAAGAAGCGTAATGCACTTATCATATTCTTTTCAAGCAGCGACCTTTGCTATGATTAAATTGCTGAGTACTAGATTTTATATCATAGCCATATGCACAAACTATTCTGGTTGTTATACCGTAATCGTAAATGCCAGTGAGCGAACGTAAAAACTAAATACTCCTTTCTCTTAATAATATGATTTTTTTTTCGTGTATTATCCCTTGTCTGATTTTATAACGCCTTATTTCTTGAAATTCTTATTGACTATGTCTTCTTTGAATACAAGAATGAATAAACAATGTATGGGAAGCTGCGTTCCTTATTACAGGTCAAGTAAAAGGGGTCTTTTCTGAAAAATCGGCAAGTTCTTTTTTTAATGAATCTATATATTTATATTATGACCACCTCTAGTGAGTAGAATTTTAAATATAACATATCTACTTGGTGTAAAAGTCAAAACATGTTTATTTTATATTTGCAAAGAGACTGTGTAGCAACTTATATATCAAAATTATGCATAGTGTATCTTTAAATCAGGCCGCAGTTGGAAACATGGGTATTTATTTTTCCCATGACTAATGTTAAAAGAAAAGTTACGTAATGAAGTTGTATGTCTAAAAAGATTCAATATACTGAAATGATATACTGTAAAAAATTATGGCTGCAACAAATTTAAGAAAATAAGATAAAAGATCAGAAATTAATGTAAAGTGGCTACATAATTCAGTCATATCATAAAATCTCAAAACTTAGGGATTATGTGTATTCCCAAACGCATTTTCTTGTGATTTAATTAATAAATGAAACTTTAGCTTTATTTTAGCCTCTAAGAATGTTATCTTGCTTTAACATTAATAAAACGAAACTTTTGACAATGCTTTAACTAGCAGATTACCAAGGCATAAACAAACAATCTACATTTTGTAATAACTGACTTATTTTACAGTTTCATATGGCCACAACTGACAACAATATTATGACAAAACTTGGCACGTTTTATGAAGTCGTCATTTGAAATGAGTCTTTCATAACAATTTTACTCTAAAATACATTACAATGCATTTTGATTAATTAAAAAATATACAAGTAAATATGTGCAATCGTTCATTTATTTTTTACAAGATAGCATAAGTGTAGTTAGTTCTAGAGTACCAATCCGAGAGTGTTTCAGTTAAAGTCAAGGTTTTGTTAGTTTTAACATAGTTTATTTCAAACAATGATACATGTACATCATGTTGTTAATACAATAACTAGATACACGATTGAAAAAGGATTAGAGCCGAAAGCTATAAAGCTTAAAAAGGTCTTCTCCTACATATTTGTACAATGCAGTTAAATTATGACAGTGTTTGCAATATTGTTTGAAACAATGAAGTTAATTTTAACATATTTGAAACGAAAAAAAAATCGAAGATTTAAGCTGTTGTTCAAAAAATCTTTTTTTAAATAATATAAATAATTGAAAAGAATAAGAAAGAAGGTAAAGAAGGTCAAGTTGGCAAATTGTTTTGTGAATCTAAGCTCATGTAAATCGGTTACTTTCACGTATATATACATGAACTGCTTGAACAATTTTAGAATTAATGTCATGGCTAAGATTCTGGTCTCCATTTAGTAAGGTATGAAGTGTTATAATACAGATGTTAGAAACAGCATCAAATAGTCTGAGTCTGATATCATTATATAAGTGACACTCAAAGAAGAAGTGGTGGTTACTTTCCAGGAGTCCACATTGACAATTTGGTGAGGGGACATATTTTTTCTGAATAAGTGATGGTTTAAAAAGCTACATTCTGTTCGGAGCCGTGTGTGCATGACTTGCCTATTTCTTTCACCTATGTAATAGTATTTGGGGCATTTTTATATTACCTTTAAGTTGCGTTTTAAAAGAGGACAAAGATATTGAGTTTTGTACCTCTGTTGATAGTAAGTTCCAATCTCTCAAAGTAGATGGCAGAAATGCATTATGGTAAAGAGAAGTTCTTGTACGTATTGTTTGCATGTCAGAAGCATTTCGTAAATTGTACTTAGACGTTTCTCCATCTGATGGTGGAACTAAGGACGATAAATTATCTGGTGTGAGACCGTTAAACGAAATAAGTTTGTGATTCTGTCTACGGCTTTCGAGGGATTCCAAAAGTACTTCTCTTTGAAGTTCCTGAAGAGATACAAGTTTAGTGGCCCCTGAAACTATACGGGCGGCTTCGTGTTGAATTTTATCAAGTTCAAGTTTTTCATATTGTGTACAATTGATCCAGACTACATTTGCATATTCAATGAGAGGTCTTACGAATGATAGATATATAACTTCTAGTGATCTTCTGTCTAGTGTAAATTTAAGTTTTCTCATGATATGAATTCTTTTCCAAGCCTTCTCTTTGATAGGATTAATATGTACATGCCAAGAGCAATCATCTGAAAAGTAAAGACCAAGATGTTTTTGACTATTTACTGAGGAGATAGGCTGATCATGCATTAGAAGTTGCGGATGATAACGCTTTTTTGTTTTGCGTGACATGATCATAATTTCCGATTTAGAAGGGTTGAATGTTACAAGCCATTTATCAGCCCAACTTGAAATGTTTTCGATATCAGATTGAAGAGTTTTCGCGGCAGCTATTGGATAGTCAATAATTATGTGCAAACTAGTATCATCGGCAAAGAGGTGTATGCTTGAGTTTAAATCGTCAACAATATCATTAATGTATACCAGGAACAACAGAGGCCCAAGAATAGATCCTTGAGGAACTCCTGCATTTACAGTAGACCAATTAGAATGAGCTCCAGGAAGAACGACACATTGACGTCTGTTTGAAAGATAATCAGAGAACCAGTTCAGCAATTTTCCATTTAATCCAGCATTTTTTAATTGATAGAGAAGACCATCATGCCATACCTTGTCGAAAGCTTTACTTATACCAAAGAATACTGTTCTTGCTTCTAATCCGTCGTCGAGAGCCTTACAAAAGGTATTGTATAAATAAGTAAGCTGATTAACTGTTGAGTCTCCTGGTGTAAAGCCAGACTGTACAGAAGAAAGAAATTTGTTATCAAGAAAAAAGATAAAAACATATTTAAATATAATACACTCAAGTACCTTTTCTTTACAACAAAGTAAAGATATTGGTCGATAATTGTTCGGTAATGAGGGGTCACATTTCTTAAAGACTGTACATACATTTGCATCTTTCCACATTAGGGGTACCGTACTGCACTGAAGAGATTGATTGAATAGAGAACACAGAGGATATTTAAGAACAGATCCAGTTTCTCGTAGTATTCTGTTATTTATTCCATCAGGTCCTGAAGCTTTGTTTTTTTAAAGATCTTAGAGCGTCTTCTACATCTTGAGGGGATATGCATTTCTAGTTTATTTTTTGGAGATTTGCAAAGGTTTCTAGGATATCCAGTGTTTTGGTTGTTAATTGAAGCTTGTGCAGAAAAGAATTCATTCAGAATATTTGCCTTTGAAAATGAAATTTATCATAACAATTTTACTCTAAAATACATTACAGTGCATTTTGATTAATAATATACGAGTAAATATGTGCAATCGTTCATTTATCTTTTTACAAGATAGCATAAGTGTATTAATTCTAGAGTACCAATCCGAGAGTGTTTCAGTTAAAGTCAAGGTTTTCTTCACAACCGAGCTAAATGCTGTGTACTTTTTAAAGATAAGACTGGTCTAAATTCTTGAAATATTGGAATTCTCTTTCATAGCATAAGAGATCAACACAATATTATTTTATATACTTTTTAAAGATCTTCAGCTTTGCATTTAAGCAATACTTAGTGTGCAATTATTAAAGCAAAATGCAAAATGCATTGCCCTTTCGTCAAAATATGAAAGACATTTTTGAAGTAACATAAACACATTTTTGCAATATTAAAGAACATATAAACTTATAAGACACAATCTCAGTACGTAGTTGCAAGAAGATCTACGATTCTTTGCGGTGCCATGGAGCGTGGACGGTAGCTTGCTATTACCACTACCGTCCATGAACAGGCTCAAACAAATTGAGCCTGGAACATTTTCAGTTTTGTCGTGTTTGGCTTTCTTAAAGGATTCTGTTTTTCTCTATTTCTTAACAGGGGTTTTCTCTACTTCACCTCCAAACACTTCAAGAAGCCAGTGTATAGAAACCGAGGCATTTAACGAAATGAATACCCAGCATTTTCTAAAGAGGCACAATTGCTCATATTTCCATTTCTATTTGTTTTTGTCCTGACCACATATTTATTAAAAATTAAAGGTGTCATCGGTTTTCAAAGCAGATGTTTGCTACTTTATTAATAACCTTATGCTTCATAAGCACCAGTGTGAGTGATCGGTCAAAATTGTTTGTTAGTTTGTTGGGTTTTTTTCCGTCTAAACGATCGCTTGACGTAGTGTTTTCTAGCTTATGCGAACAAGCACAAATGATCGATTGTGATAAATGATCTAGTACAGTGATCAACTAACCTTATATCCCATTCAGTTGACAATGTTATCAAAACAAAGTCATTAAGAGGACGACTTGAACGCGAAATGTGGATAAACGTATTTACGTAAATATTTCGCCAAAATAATTATAATTATGACTTTAACGACTTTTTGTTTTTGATTTGACAGTAGCCAAAAAAGTTCATATACTTTTCGCGTAATGTTTCTTTTTATACGATTCAGAAGAATCTGTTTCTCAGAAAAGAGTTTAGAAGTTTGACAAAACATTCATTTTTTAATCTAAAATCTTTTTTGCAGTATAAAACTTAATTACATTTTGATTGCAATAGAATTTTATTAAACAATGACTGTAGCAGAAATTTCAATCAGAAATGCAAATATCAAGATAAAATCAAATATGACAAGCTCACAAATTAGGAAGCATTACAGACAAAATGGTAATGCTGATCAGAACGTAATGTAAAATAATGGTTTCAAAGTACTCACCATTCTTAAACTCTGTAAGTTAGGTGTATTACAATAAAAGCGGTTTCAGACAGTTATGTTTTACCGTTATGTTATCAAAGTATGTTTCCTATGAGTTTAGTCAACATCTAAGTAAACTAAATTTTAATACAGTTATACATGTATTGATATTTCCTACAGACCCTTGCGGAAGAAAAACTTCATAATTATTAATGTCTAAAAACTCATAGAAGGTAGAAGTCCTTCGGTAAAATTGAAAACATATACAAATAAATGTTAACATTGAAGAATCGGTTTGATATAGTCTGTTTATGAAAAGTAAATAACAATATAAGCAGCAATGATCCTGTAGGGTATAAAACTTGCACAATATTGAGATATATACTGTACGGGACAAGCGTAACAAATGTCATACAGTATTTCACACCTGTGTTTGCGAGTTTAAAAAAACTTCTCGAAAAAGAAGAAAGCATGCACGAGCACAAAAAAAATGAATACTGAGTAAGTAAATTTTACATATAGAAACAAGAGCATCGCAAAGGTGGGGCAATATTCGCCCGAATGTAAATTTGTTTTAGTAATCAAAAACAATCATACAACTAGGATAGAGACCAAATCAAGAAACTTGTCTTGAAAAATGTTATGTCTTAATTAACTTTATGATACTTCACGACATCAAGGTGTAGGCATCTACTAGGCAGTGCTATTTGCCAAATATAGAGGCATAGTATTCTTCCACAAAAAAGATAAGACGTGTTTTCTATACCCTAGTCTACATAAAACAAGTAACTACAGAAGCAGGGCCAACTTTAACCTCACAGTTATGATTAATATAACGTTTGTAGAAATAAACAAACTGACGCCGCATGCCAAATATCTAAGCCCTTTGGTATGTTGTTTCACTCAATACTACTTAAATGTGTTTTCCTGTATAAGTTTATATAAAAAGAATGACTCCGACACAGGCACATATTGGTCCCAGGGGCATAATTTATATCAGTTTTGCAGATGTTTACCTTAAATAATGCTACATGCTAAATATCTTAGCTCTTGGCGTTGTAGTTTCAAACAATAAGACTTAAATCTTGCTGTTTTTCTATATAAGTCTATATGAATAAAGTGACTCCCGGAATGTCCATATAAGTTTTCCTTTAGAAGTCTATATAAAATACTTGATCCCCGCGGTTAAGCCAATGTTGACACCAATTCTGTAGAAGTCAACAAAGAAATGCTGCATGCCAAATATTTAAACTCCAGGCATTGTAGTTTCACAAAATATGTTTTCTCATACAAGACTATATTCATTAAATGGCCCAAGTGACGGAACAAATACTAGCTGACGGCCCAAACAAATAAAAAAAACTATATTGACTACGGGACCCCCGGGGTGGGGTCAATATTGACCAATTCCAAAGTTATAATTCGGTAAGCTATGCCCACTTTGTTTCTTTTTCCCCGATTTATCTTTTTGTTCAGGTTAATTTCTAAAAAAAAGGAAACTACCACAGTTATTCACTTAAAGATTTGGTATATTTGTTCACTGCATTTCTTAAGTACTGATCTCTATAAAAGGCATTCTAGCTCAATAATCTCCCTTTTTATTATTTCTTAAAAACCATCACAAATATTCACTTCCAACTTGAAATACTTGTTAAATATAAAGGCAAAATGTCTGCCAAACAGTTAATCAGGGTTATGCCTCCTTTTTTACTTTTTTGTAAGGACTGACAATAGTGGGGCGAGCTGCGAAAAGCTCTTGCTTAAATGAAACTTGGTACCTGCAAAATTCGTTGTATGAAAATCGGACAAAATGTATGGCAAAGCCTAGAAAGTCTTGTATTTGATACAACATCGGATAACAGATCACAGTTGGTTCTTTTTTGTTGTTTTAAATAAATGAAAGAGCACATTAACCTTTTTTACTTTAAATCATGTTAATTCATTGTAATTTATTCATCAGTCAGATTATTTAAATCTACAAAAATAAAAACTTTTAAAGAAGACACTTCATTTTACATTTTTGATATATTAATAATGCGTGCAAATCTACTTCATTTTAATTATAAATGAAAGAAGAGACCGCCTTGAATTTATATTTTATAATGGATGGAAATATGCGAGCACTTTTCATATTATTGCTGGTAAGTTTGTTTTTACATCTTATATTTCCATAACCAAAATGATAATGACTTGTTAATAAAATCCAACTGATAATATAACTGAACTTTGAATTCCCATCGGGCATTGCAAAATCTTTCATTTTTCTATGATATCTAATATATGTAAACGTATGAAAATGCGGAAACAGGGGTACTTCTTCATCCAATCTTTTAATCCTATTTACTTATTTATTTATTTATTTATTTATTTATTTATTTATTTATTTATTTATTTATTTATTTTATTTATTTATTTATTTATTTATTTATTTATTATTTATTTGTTTATTTATTTATGTTGTTTTATTTATTCTAATTAATTCGTTTTTTTTTATTTATCTATTTTTATATTATTTATTTATTTATTTATTTATTTCATTATGTCCCCTATTTCCAGAAAAGAAACTGAGAACGTTTCCCATTTTAATGGCATATGCTGCATTTCAAATATCTAACTTTATCAACATAGGTACCGCTGTAGGTTCGAAACCCGCCATTATGCACTTTGGATTATGTAATGTGAGGAAGCTATCCTACTAACTTACGAAATGTCTGTGATTCTACTCTTATGTCCACTTGTGCCTGAAACAATGCAAGGAGGGGCACCTAAGGTCTCCTTCTATCAATAAAGCTGGAAAGTCGCCATATGACCTCGAAGTGTGTCGGTGAGACGTAAAACTGAATAAAACACACACACACACACACACACACACTGACAAAAACTGGAAAGTCGCCATGTGACCTCTATTGTGTGAGCGCGATATAAAACTGAACACAAAATAAAATAAATAGGAACCTCGGCCAAATGGTCCCACAAGTCAGCTATCATGAATAGTCAATAAGATACTCAGTAAAGTAAAGTATTTTACAACATTAGTAGTTTCTCCTATACTCAAATTATTTACTGAATTGTTCATACACTTAATTGTACATACAGGTGGTATTTGGATTACTGGCGCCAACAGATGCGCAATACGGTCGAATGGGACGTAAGTGTTTTATTTAGGCTTTATTTGTATGACTCAAAGTATCTAAGATGTCACAATATACTGAACATTAATCTCACATATCAAAATCGGGCTAAACAAAATGTCGTCTTACTTGTATCTCATGCGTCTGCTAGATTAGAATACTGATGTTCTGAAATAGAGCATTTCTTGTGCAACAAAACATTTAATTTTACATAAATAGGTAATATTTAACTAATTTCAAGAATCCTTTTGCAAATGGTGTTAACGTAAAGTCATTGTTAACTGCGGAGTATTCTGATTACAAAAAGAGTACGCATGATAGGTATAAAATATGTACGTTCATCGAACATGTAACAGATTGCACTAGGGAAATTCATTATTGTTTACAATTTTTCACCAACTTTCATAATATGTTTACATTTAACGCTTATTTTTGACATCAATATGGTTTTCAAAACAATTTTTAAAATGTGTTGATTTTCTCTTCAATTAATAAGGTGGGTACGGGATGAGACGTTTCATTGCACCTCGGCCGTTTTACCCAAGATACCCTGGTGGACATGGTCATCTCGTTGATCCTTTCTCTCGAGGATCTGTCTTTGGATCCGGGATTATAGGTGATCCTTATTCCGATCCTTACATTGGGGATGGCGTACTTCCATACGCAGGAGGTGTTTACCCTACAGGAGGCGTGGTTACTGGCCTTGTAGGAGACGGACGCCGCCCAGCTGTTATAGATAACCAATCAAGTGACAGAGTAGAGCATATAAATATTCATAACAGCAATAACAATCAACGAATTCAAACAGGGTCTAATAACGTCGCTGTAAATCAAGGTATTTCTAAAATTATGTGATGCCTATTTTGTCATGTTGTATCAAAAACATTCCATTACGTGTTACTCTGGATAACTTATCTTTAAGATTATTATGTAGTTCAGAAATAGTGAGCTGATGCGATTTATTCATTTTGTTTAATGATTTATTCATTTTGTTTAATTCGAAGACGGACTGGAAAACTGTAAGAAGAAATGATCAAATCTTTTAAATTACGTAAAACTTTTCTTTGGTATTTATAAAAAAAATACTATATAACAAACGTGCAAATACATTTCTACATTTTTTTTCTATATTTGCCTTGATGTGAATGACAGTGCGTCGTCCAGAATATGAGAAAGTCATTGTTATAATTTCTAGAATTATAACATTTAAACGTGTGCCTTTCACATCATTTTAGTGCGTGAAACTTGAGCTCCTATGTCAACCTAGAGAATATAGATTCTATTTTCATGTGTATAAGTATCTGCACGCAGAGATGATAAAGGGTCACCCACACAGGCAAAGCATTGATATGCTGTCCTGAGCAATCGATCAAAGGAATTTTAGAGTTTTTAAAACCTTAAGTTTATTTCGTATATTTTCAGTGACCGGAGGAAGTGGTAACCAATGCCAACCATGTCCGGCTGACGGTTATTGTTCGGGTGGAAGGTCATGCCAGTATAGTCAATCATGTCCTAATGAGATCGTCTGCGTGTAGACTATTGTGTAAACAGTGGTGTCAAGTCATATTACCCAGTCATAGTTTGTGTAGTAAATACGGAAAGCAATATGTAGCTTCAATGTGATATCAAAGTGATTTTAAATGACATAAAAATTCAGGTTTTATTTATCAAACTATAAACTAAAGATAGTCGACCAATAGTTGTGTATCTGAAATGTCGTTAATTGTAATAAAAAGAAATAGTCTGAAAAATGTATTTTATCTATTGTTCGCATTTCTATCTCATATTACACTTATCCTATTAACTGGAACCATTAAAAATTGTCGCTCGTCTATATCCATTCAGTTTCCCTTTAAGGCATTGTTACACTTGACTGCGCTTTGACTGCGTTTGCACGGCTTTTTAAATGTAACAAAGCGCCGCGAGATCGCAAGAAAATCTGATATTTTTGAAGACATGGAAACATCACGGCGTTTTCACGGCGTCCTCGTGGCGATCATGACGTTGCCTTGGAGCTTCCTTGGCGTTGTAATGCGTTCTTATGGCGTTTTAATCGGCGATTGTCTGCACTAGGACTGCGTTTTCACTGCGCTTTCACGGTGCTCATGTGAAACATTTGCGGTGCTCACACCGCGCTGAAACCGTAAAGCTCCGTAAAAGCGCCGTATACACGCAGTATAAGCGCGACAGAGACGCCGCACAATCTCTGTACAGGCGCTGTGACAAATCATTGTGTACACCGGTCTTACTGATATTATGTGTATACAATGGTGACAAACCACTATGTCCATTCTATTCCGTGTGCGTTTTCATGGCGTTTCTGTTGCGTTGTAGTAGATGGTACTGGGTTGCTACGGCATCCTTACCGCGACCCAATTGCGCTCTTATCAGAACACCGAGTGACGGCATTTGTTTTAAGATATTTTGACTTCCATACAAAATATTTAAGCACTATAACTCTACTTATTGAAAAGGCAAACGTTAACATAAACATTTATATATATAAATATGGCCTATACGTTTCGTGAAATGTAACAGGACACCAAAAAATAAAAAGTTTTGAAAATTGTGCGGGGCTGCATGGGCCTTTAAATTAAATTTTGCACATTGATAACATAATATCATCACAGTTACGTAATACATTGTAGTCAAAATCTTGAATTAGTTTTGTTGATTGCTCCCTAAGATTATCGAACGCCGACATTATATAAATAACAATATTTAATAGTTTATTTTAAAAGCTTACATGTTTATGAAATATTGACAGAAGAAAGAGCAAAAGTTCAATACACATAACAAGAAAGAAACTTAAACATGGAAAAGCTGTTTTCTTAATATTTTAATCAGTTTATATGAACGTTTATAATATAAAATTAACTTTGACCTCGGTTCGGCGGATTAACAAAGAACTAATAACCTACAAAAGTCATTAAAAATTCAATCACGGCAAACTGTGAAATATCGCTATTATAAATAACATGTATTGAAAAGCGATAAAAGCTTTCTATTTTAAACAGTGAAAATTGAATCCAGTTTCAATGCCGAGCAAACAAAATAAACAATATCCTGATTAATAAAGGACTAGACACTCGATACTTCGATTTTTTAAACTGCCACTGAAAAATAAATTTGTTTAAAAGTTTAAAATTATGTTTGAATAGAGAGAAGATAATTGGACGGCGCAATAAATATATCATAATTGAGATCATTTGTGGAGTGTAAAGGGAAAATGGCGGTCGCCGCTCCGAAGGTAAGTTCATGATTTTCTTTTGTAATACGTCTTTATAGAATTAAGGGGGAAACGTCTGGGGTTTTTTCTTACACATGTTATAGCTATTTTTCAAAGTATTATTTATATATAATGTATTATAAGATTTAATAAAATGCTTATTAAAGATATGTTGTACACAATTGTGTCATTTATATTTACAGTAAACTCTCCTTTGCAAGAGCTTCAAATATTCATTTTTCCCGGTGTTGCTTATGATGAATGTACAATTTAGGAAGTAAACCTTGTTTGCGCAATATTCGGAACTGAATGAAGAAAACATAGATTCCAAAAGCTGTATATTGCCAATTTGTTCTAATGTTTTCCTAAAAATGATAATGAAGTATATAAGTACAATAAAGAAGTTACTTACAAATGCAGTGTACTCAACAACACACATCTTTAGATTCTTGTGCATGTTTTACTTAGATAATGATTATTGCAATGTATTACTGGATAAGCATCCATTTTGTGCTAATGGATCTAGTTTTCTTCCTATACAGTACATTGTCAATAGGTATATGTCAATTTATATTTTTTCAGATAGCGGTGCATCTGTACCTAAACAATCCGTATGGTTAATTAGTGCAACTATCCCACAATACACCATAAATGAAGTCAGTTTAGATGGAAAGAAATCTGAATCAGTATCACCCGACAAGAAAGACGAAGTTCAATATGTCAGTCCAACTGTTATGGAGCCTGTTGGAACATTTAAAGACACCAATGATGGGGCAAATTTTAACAAACGCAGAAAGCCTTTACCGGATATCCACGACAGTAAACGAAACTCCCCTTTAAGTGATACGGGATCGGTGTTCTATGATAAAACACCTCGGAAAAATTATCCACCTAACGGAAAATCTCCTGAACTAGTACAGAGTTGCCCTCAGCTTGGATTCACTTGGTCGATAAACCTGGACAAGCGGGAAAGAGCCTTTGTTCCTAGACAACCACCATCGAAAAATCTGCTTGAAAAATTATGCGGACCGAAGTCGGTTGAGCCAGTGGGAATCATTAAACTGAAAAGAAAAATGATCTCTCCCAACAACTACCTAATACACCGGATACGACTGGAAGAAAAGGGGTAAGACAGGTCATATAAATAAATCTTTTAAAGAGCGACTTCAATCACTTACCTTGGTATCCTTGGTCAAACTAAAAAATTACTGTCTTCAGTTTGACTATAGTGGCGCCATTCGGTAACTATGGTCGGACTTGACTGAAGCCACCGTTTTTCCGGTTCAAAAATGGCGGCGAAAGGTTACACGTGTGCTCCGCATTATTATGAATTTAGTTTGATCGCCGCCATATTTCAAAACAATACATAAACGAAAACTTGAACGCTCGACCCAATTGCAATTTTTTGGCCCTTGCTGTCAGTCCTCGGAGTTATATTTATAATAATAGCCGAGGATGTTCCGATTGACGCTCGCCAGACATGCGTATTTTAACATCCGGTACCAGACAAAGTTAATTAGTGATCGAAGTCGCTCCAAAAATAAGCATAATTTAAAACATGTTTGGCCATTATTGTTTATTTTGTTATTTTGGTTAAAGATCCTGTAACTCAATTTTTATGGTTTTATATTATAAATACAATGCTCAAATGAATATTTATCAAATTGGTAAGTTCCAAAAAGAATTATTTGTAAAGATATTACCGAATGTACATTTTATGTTAATAAAGGGAGGTAATTAGAAATATATTTTCTATAAAGTCTATGTCAAATTTTTCAGTATCAGAAATGAGTGGATATACATGTATTTTAATGATTACATAATAATGTGGACAAATATTTTGCAGTACGTATTTTACATATTCTTCGATGTTCGAAAATTGTTTTAGAAGCACAATGATATACATATATAATATTTCACTTAAGTGTGGTAACAACCTTAATTAAAACATGCACTAAAAACCCTGTTTAAAAATTTATGATGCATGTATATTGTAAGTATTGTTGACAGATAATATAGCCTAGTATAAACGGATAAAGCAAGCTATGCGTTTATACTAGACTATTCTATTTGTGAAATGTTTTGAAACGTACTCATAATGCGCATTTGCTTTTTTAAATAAAGATATAAAATGAAATTCATAAACTTGCTGCAACCGTATAGATATTATAATACTGCATTTTTGTGCTACTTTCTTCAGTTGTTTAACATCCATTATTCTCTATCTTCATTATTAAAACATTATTATACACATATTTTTTTATTTGACTTTTCTAAAGAATTAAAAAGTTATTGATTTCTGACGCATAATGTCCCTTAAAGGCTATTATTCTGCCAACTTCATGGACTAATGTTGGATGTTGTGGAGGTAACTGCAATATATTTTTTTTTTGTAAGATATGAAAGACCGTATTGAAGGTAAAATTGATCGGATATATGACTCGCTTATCAGTGATTTAGATGCAGATGCAATCTGCGACGTTACAAAGAAATCATTCACTTGTTATAGGCTGACATTTTACAAATTGAAATATATTAAATTGAGATATTCTGTAATCGGAAGTGCCACAACACTATGGTTCTTACCGTTGCATTGATAAATCAATAATAAATTCATATAAGAAGGTACTTCTTCTCAAGATATTTTCGTACACGTGAAAATGATCATTTCGTTTATTTAGTTAGATCAATTCTTTTTCTCGTTTTGAGGACAAATACACTTGGCCATTTTCCATCGTCCTTCGTTCAATGAAATACACAAATATAACTAGACTTTAGTGCATCTTGTTCAAACTTGCTTTATTTTTTCGTATATGACCACAGCCAAACTTAAAATTCAAGCAGTATAGAAAGAAAAAAGGAATACAATATTATTAAACTAAAATTGCAAGCATTATGCAAACACTGTATTCTTATTTTCTACAAAAGATATATGCATGTTTATGTACGGAAAAGAAGAATGGTATGCGTGCTAACAGATACAACGGAGCTGTAAAATGTACTTTCACGTAATTTATTACATGTATGTAAAATAAAAGTTAACAAAAAATATTGTTTAAATTAACAGATAAAAAAGCAACAATAAACATCACTGCGCTTTATCAATTTATACAATAAAAGCTCAGAGACTATGTAAATAAAGATACTAGTATTTAAGCGGCGTCACGACAAAACCAATATAGTGGGTTTGCGACCAGTCTGATCAGGATCTGTGCTGTTCGCTACCAACTCTATTACAAGTAGAGAAACTGATAGCGAACAGCATGGATCCTGATCAGACTGCGCGGATGCGCAGGCTGGTCTGGATCCATGCTGGTCGCAAACCCACTATGTTGGTTTTGTCGTGACGCGGCTCATTTTAAAGACGGTGTTTAAAATAACATTTTCAGCATATTGCGCTTAAGACTGTTTTAGGTTATATATCAAAAGTAAAAATTGAAATTAAACACAATAAAAATATTTCGTAATATATAATAACAGATCAATTACTGACCGCAATAATGAAAGAATAAGTAGTTACACCTTAAACATAATGTCATTGCACATTTGATTTCTTTTAGACTAATCTGCAGATTTTGAAGAGATTAGTTAATCATGTTATCAAATGTTTTTGTACTCGTAAGCTTTTGTTGAAGTAAACGAATTTGTCTTTGTTATTACCTCACAAATATAGTATTACTTATTTGGATTCATTAAGAGTATTTACAAATTCATTTCGGTACGGGGGATATTGCGACTAATTAACCGTGTATCAACAAAAATAGTTATTCTAGTAGTCGAGAAGCCTCAACAGTGAGGAGGGAAATAAAATTTGCATTAAACTTTTGTTTTGTGCGGGGGGGGGGGGGGGTATTTTTGTTTTTATTGTATACAAGTTACAAGGATAATGGCACTCACAATCACTGGACCAATTTTGATAACCAGTCTAGGCAAACCCAATAAATAAGTTTTATTTTAATTTACGTACATGTCCTGAACATTAATAGCGTTGTAATCTTTAAAAGATCAGTCATTATTCTTTCATACGTGTTTTGTTAATATGTTTTCTCGTAGATCATCGTGATTTGGTTTCTATATTTGTATAAAAAAATCGTATATTCCTCAATGTTGTTGTTCATGATCATGAAAAAAAATATAGCCAAGTCTATGAAACGAAAATTGACCGTTAATCAATATTTTTTATTCCTGTATGAAAAAGAACTCTATGTATAACTAATCGGAGAATTTGTTCTTAGAAAGGGAGGCCACTCTTATGATCATAAAGTCACAAAGAAAGGCAGGCATTACCTTTCTTGTTCAGGATTCGCGTTAATCTGATGGTGATCTAAATGAAAACATTAAACTTGAACTTTGAGACCCGATTTCTAATATTAATCTCCGGCTATACAGTATCAGAAGATTAAGGTCAACATTTGAAATGTGTGCCAAAATATTGTTTAAAATCAAATACGTAAATAGAAGGCATTTTTTAAAAGCAAAGATTTAAGGAATAATATCGGTCTGAGCGGTATTTAACACCGGTTTGGAGTTTTGATGCGTAGGAATTGACCGAATTGAAGAAGCAAAAATGAATAGGCCTGAAACTTAGAAAATAACTAAGATACCATCATCAAAATTTTAACCCTAACATTTTGCCCATCTAAAGGAATATAATGAGTGAACAGGTGAAAGTCAATCATTTGAAATATATAGTCAATTCAGGTAAACTGGAAAATGACAAAATAAACATGATGTCACTTCGAGCAAAATCGACTTGCTATGAGTTTATATACTAGTAGTGGTTCGAATTTGTAATTAAACTTTTATTGTTGAAATTGACTTGCATTACACGTAAAACAACATTAGAAACCGACCGTTATATTCAAAAGTCTAGAACTCATGGTAATCATTCACCAGCAATTTATAATAACGTTTTTCATATCGAGGATACAAATTACAGACTGTCTTTATCGTCTCATAGATAATATGACAAATTGGAATACTACAGTTTTTCTTTCTGTCTCTTCAAATCATCAACTAAATTCTTATTCTTGCGGAGCCGAAAGTTTTATATCGGGACAAGCTAGCTTTCTTCAAAAAAAGGTCCCATCATTTTGCACTTTTTAAAATGTGTGTTGTATAATTTTTATTTATATATTTCTTATTTTTTTATAATATTTTTATTTATTTCTTTGTGTGTCATTTAATATCAAATTATACCCTGTAGAGTGGTATTATTAATGTATTTTTCCACAATAATTTATACAAAAAATTAAACAATAATGTGTCAATAATTGTGGAGACATTAGGGTAGGTAAAATTATATACTGATTGTTTTAAGGTCATAAATTATTCCCTAAAGTGACACAGAGTCGAGAACAAATTGATTTAAGAAAGTTAAGCAATTGTAGTGAAATAAATAAAACAAACTGAACAACATGACGCAAATAATACCAAGAATGGCAATCAATAGCAACTATATTTGGGAATATATAGGTCGAATCAATTCCACAGGCAGAAATAAAGAACACCTTATAAATACTGTAATAGTTAAGGTAGAGATACTTGACCGGTCTTGAAACTCTAGTGACCAAATCAAGTTTGGACCGCATTATTGTACTTTAGTGGAAATGCATCCATTGACATTCCTATCAACATATTAAAGTTCATGTTATTTAAAAATCTCATGACTTTTGTTTATTTAAAAAACTGGCTATTTTTATTATTTTTGGAACGACCATTGTAATATTAAAGGCAAGTTAAAATAAAACGTAAGCAACAATGGTAATCAACCTAAAAAGAAGTATCCTTGTTCTCGCTAAAGTATTCATTTAACAAATTGGCCATAGACACAAGTTACAAAGTAAAAGTATTATTAGGTAATTTGAATGTGGCTAATATCAGAACTAAGATATTGGTGCATAGGTCCTGTGTACAGGTTTGAAACATGCTTGTGGAATCATTTTTTAATCACTGTAATTTAAAGGTCTAGAATTTTACAAATATTTACTTTTGTACAATGAGAAAATAGAGATAAACAGAATCCCTAAAGAAAGCACAACACGAATAAATTGAAAATTGAAGCAAGCTCGGTTTGATTAAGGCTGTTTATGAACGGAAGTGGTAATTGCAATCTACCGTCCATGC